ACCACATGGTGGCTCACAAATCATAAACGACCCTAAGATTTCACCTTACACACCCATCAGAATGGCTAAGATCAAAAACTCAAGTGACAACATATGCTGGAGAGGTTGTGGAGAAAGGGGAACCCTCCTCCACTGCTAGTGGAAATGTAAACTTGTACAACCACTCTGGAAAGCAATCTGTCGCTTCACCAGACAACTAGGAATAGCGCTTCCTCAAGATCCAGCTATACCACTCCTAGGCATATACCGAAAAGAGGCTCAAGTACACAATAAGGACATTTGCTCAGCCATGTTTGTAGCAGCCTTATTTGTAATAGCCAGAAGCTGGAAACAGCCAGATGCCCCTCAGTGGAGGAATGGATACAGAAATTGTGATACATCTACATAATGGAATATTACTCAGCAATAAAAAACAAGAAAATCATGAAATTTGTAGATAAATGGTGGGATCTGAAAAAGATCATCCTGAGTGAGCTATCCCAGAAGCAGAAAGACGCACACGGTCTATACTCACTCATATAGGATAAACCTACTAAAATCTGTACACCTAAATAAACTAATCAAGAGGGAGGACTCTTCCTAAAATGCTCAATTCCTACCCAGAAAGGCAAAGAGGATGGATATCAGAAGAAGGAGAAGAGAGGGAACAAGTCAGGAGCTGACACAGAGGATCTCTAAAAGGCTCTGCCCTGCAGACAATCAATGCAGATGCTGAGACTTATGGGCAACTTTTGGGCAAAGTGCAGGGAATCTTAGGAAAGAAGTGGGAAATAGTAAGATCTGGAGAGGACAGGAACTCCACAAGGAGAGCAACAGAACCAAAAAATCTGAGCACAGGGGTCTTTCCTGAGACTGATACACCAACCAAGGACTATGCATGGAGATAAGCTAAAACCCTTGCACAGATGTAGCCCACGGCAGTTCAGTATCCAAGTGGGTTCCATTGTAATAGGAACAGGGACTGTCTCTGACATGAACCAATAGGCCTGCTCTTTAATTACCTCCCCCGGAGGGGGAAGCAGCATTACCAGGCCACAGAAGAAGACAATGAATGCAGCCACTCCTGATGAGACTTAAATGACTAGGATCAGAAGAAAAGAAAAGAAGACCTCCCCTATCAGTGGACTTGGGGAGGGGCATGCATGCAGAGGGTGAAGGAAGGGAGGGATTGGGATGAGAGGAGGGAGGGAACCACAGGGGGGGATACAAAGTGAATAAAGTGTCATTAATAAAGAAAAAAAACTGTAATATTACTTTAGTAAATAAAGATGCCAAATATAATAAAAAGAAATTCTATATTCTATCTTAAAATAAGAACTGTAATGTTCATCTAATAAATAAAAACTATGTATTTGATTGCTGAAAAAAAAGAAAAAAAATTCCAGCCAGGTGGTGGCAGTCTTTAATCCCAGCACTTAAGAGGCAGAGGCAGTCAAATCTCTTGAGTTCCTGGATGACAGAGTGAGTTCTAGGACAGCCAGAAGAAACCTGGACAGAAGAGGACAGAAAGAGAAACCCAGGTTCCAAAAACCAAAGAGAGGGGTGGGGGGACTAGGAGGAAAGGAAGAAACAAAGTCTTGTTAACCAAGATACTTCAGCTACCATGTTTGAAATGGGGCCTTCAGCTAACTCTATTATGGTGGTCACTGAACACAATACTAACCACAGAGCTGGCGGCCCCTTTCACACCTACTGTCTGGTATCATCACCTCCCCAAATCTGCTCTTCCTTCTTACCTGTCACTCTGTATTTTCTTCAGGATGTCCAAAGTCATTATGATCTGTTTTGTTGGTTTTTTAAAGGAAAAATCCTGGCTCTTTTGTTTGATATCCGGCACCAAGAATTTTTCTTTATTTAATAAAGAAGAAGATACTTTCTTTGTGATCGATCCTTCATGGCTGGCTTTCTAAAAATAAATGATGTTAATGATATTGTCTTAGGGGCTGAGGACATGGCTCAGATCGTCAAGAGCACTTGTTCTTGCAGAGAACTTGGTTGGGTTCGATTCCCAGTGCCCATGTGGGGGCTCACAACCATCTGTAACTCCAGGTCCAAAGGATCCAACACTCTCTTCTGACCTCTGTAGGCATCATGCTTGTACATGATGCACACACATGCACACAGGCAAAACATTCACACATATAAAAAAAATTTTAAAAGGGAACTTAAAAGTTGCTTTTCAGTGAAGAGACTACACTCTATTTGCTGCCTATTTTCAACCCTTTTCTCCAGTTACATTCCATACTCCAAGGAAGCAGACCCTTTGGTCAACCCCATCAAAACACCTTTCCTGCTGTTTCTTGTCTTCCTGCCTTCACACATTCTCTCTATCATCCCTAAAATGCCACCTGTCAACCAGAAGACAAAGATCAGGGGCTGAGGGTGCAGACCAATGGTGGAATACAAAAACTACATGGAAGGCCTGAGACTCAACCACCAGCCTCACAAGAAGTAAGAGCCTTAGAGTACAGGCTCAGCCTTTCCATCCTGGCACGTGGGAAGTGGAGGGAGGAGACCAGGAGTTCAGCGTCAGCCTAGGATACATCAGAAACTCAAATGTTCATCTAAACACATGAATCTGAGACGACACGGACAGCATGGTGGCGCCTGTGCTGGCAGGTACTCAGGAGGTTGAGAGGGGTGACGAGAGAACTTGAGTTTTATGCCAGCCTGGACAACACGTTAAGACAAACTAAACAACAAAACAATTCAAAACCATACAAAATGAAAGGAGAATTGTACTAAAAAGTGAAAGTTGATGTCCGATTTAGTGATGTAGTTTAGATCTCGAGGGTCGTGTGGGAAAAGCCAAAATATTTTTCAGACTTAAGTTCAAGTACCAAGAAATGACAGGACAGCATGTGTCTTCCAATTGATGATCTTATTTAACCTGCGGCTGAACGCTTGGGCAATAGACAGTGATGGGCCATGAAGCCAGCTTCTATGTCTGAATCCTGGCTCTATTTCTTACTAACCATATTGACCTTGGGTAATTATTTACAATTTCTGTGCCTCCACTTTCCCATTGGCAAATAGTTAACATTTTAGAAATTGTACAATGAGGGGGCATGGAAATGTAAGAGAAACTGTAATATTTTAATTTCTCTCCCACTCTTAATCTCTCTGGTCCCCAGCCCCCAGACTCTCTTCTCCCTCAACATATTCCCTTCCTGTCCTGTGTGAATGTACATGTATGTATAAATTCAGATCTCACCTATGACAGAATACATGCACGTGGACACAAATGCACACACACACAGCACACATTCACACACAAATAAATAACTCGAAATAAAAATGAATTGTTTGGGAAAAGATATCACAGCGTGGATTCCTATTATGCCAGAAAATTTTGTAGGTGAAAGATAACTATTACAAACCATAATAGGACTGCAGACCTCTCATTATTTCTTAGAGTAATGTCCTCACTGAACACTGTTTATCAGCTTAAGATTTTCATTCTGGGTGTGGAGAGATGGTTCAGAGGTTAAGAGCACTGGATGCTCTTCCAGAGGTCCTGAGTTCAGTTCCCAGCACCCACATGGTGGCTCACAACCATCTATAAAGAGATCTGGTGCCCTCTTCTGGTGTGCAGGTGTATATGCAAACAGAACATTGTATACATAATAAATAAATAAATCTGTCAACAAACTACTCTTTTTTAAAGATTTATTTATTTATTTTATATAGATGAGTGCTCTATCTTTGGGCAGACCTGCATGCCAGAAAAGGGCATCAGACCACATTACAGATGGCTATGAGCCATCATGTGGTTGCTAAGAATTGAATTCAGAACCTCTGGAAGGACAGCCAGTGCTCTTAGCCACTGAGCCATCTCTCCAGCCCCAGTAAACTACTCTTAAAGATAGACAGGCATGGAGCTGTAGCCTAGGCTGGCCTTGAACTCTTAACTCAAGTTCCTTCTGCTTCCGAAACCTCCCAAATTCTTAGATTATAAGCCTGATCCAGTAGGCCTGGATCGTATTTATTCATTCATTCAATCATTCATTCATTAGCTTTTTTGAAACAAGGTTACTCTGTGTAGCCTTAGAACTTACTCTGTAGACCAGGCTGTCCTCAAACTCACAGAGATCCACCTGCCTCTGCTTCTCAAGTGTTGGAATTAAAGGTGTGCACTACCACTGCCTGGCAAAAAATAGTATTTTTTAAATTACAGTTATGGGACTAGAGAGATGGCTCAGAGGTTAAGAGCACTTGCTGTTCTCGGAGAGGACCCAGGTTCAGTTCCCACCACCCACACCACATCTGTAATTCCAGTTCCAAAGGATAAGTAACCTCTTCTGGCTTCTGTGGGCACCAGGCGTGTATGTGGTGCACATACATACATTCAGGCAAACTACCCATACACATATAAAAAATTAAAAATTGATTTACTTTTTTATTTGGAGTGGAGTGGGCATGTGACCAGAGTGTGTATGGAAGTCAGAGGACAACTTATTTCCATCAGTTCTCTCTCTCTCTTCCTCTCTTTCTGTCTCTCGCTTTCTGTTTTTTTATTATTTTTGTTTTGGTTTTGGTTTTCGGTTTTTGGAGACAGGGTTTCTCTGTGTAGCCTTGGCTGTCCTGGACTCACTTTATAGACCAGGCTGATCTCAAACTCATAGAAATCCACCTGCATCTACCTCACTGAGTGCCGGGATTCCAGGCATGCGCCACTGCACCCAGTGAAATCAGTTCTTCCTTTCAGCTGTGGGTCCCAGGAATCGAACTCAGCTCACTAAGCTTGGAAGCATGCACCTTTACTCACTGAGCCACCTCACCAGCTGATACTGAACTTTCTATGGAGAGCAGGCTGGCCTCGAACTCACTGTGATCTTCACGTCTCTGCATCTCCAGTGTGAAGATTACAGACATGAGCCCAGCGGTGGCCAGAAGTCCAACTCATCACTAAAAATGTAACTGCCGACAAGGTAATGTGCCTGGATATTTACAAAAGCAGACTACAGCAGGGTCGGCAACAGCAGCAAAGTTATTTTTGATTGAAGCAGTGCTGACAGGGTCCGGATTAATTTCCTCTCCCTAGTGTCCAATTGGCTTATAGCACAGAAAACTTAAAATGTGGTCTCAGTGTATGCACAGCAGCCCCACAACATTACAATCTATGCAAATACCCCCGACATTTTCACCAGGCTCTAGAATGCTTCTCACGCTAAACACGATGTACAGTTGCCGTCATACTGAAATGTCTAGGGAAAGGTGACAAGGGAAGAAAGCCTAACATATCCAGTGAAGACCAAACTTTCTCCAGGTTGTTCCTTACCAGAGGTTGGTTGAATCCAGACATCCAGAATCTGTGTCCATGGACTTAGCCTGGAGCCTTCTGGACCAGAGCCAATATTACTGGAAAAGCATGCTGTGCTTCTTGGAGGTACCCTGAGCTACAAGTCACTTTTTCTTTTTTCGGTACAGATCTTTAATTACAGGCCTTTTACCTGCCACAACAGTGCTGCTTCCCAAGCTAAGTGTGATGGCGAAAGCGGAACAAATCACGGAGCGGTGGGGGGAAAGAAGGCAAGCCGGCATGGAGGGGATGTGCTCACCTGGCTGATGCTCTGCTTTCTCTCGTACTGAAGCGGCATGATGTAGCCTAGGATAGAGAGCTGGTCGATGATGTCCTCCATAATTGCAGAGATCCTCAGCACGTCTAAAAGGGACAGTGACTCTGTGACTTCTGACGCCTGACGGTCTTCCTCTTCTTCCTTTTCTAGTTCTTCCTCCACAGTGGTCGGGGGTTCTCCTGTCACCACCACGGTAATCTCAGAAGGCAAACCCTCCTCCAAAGGAAACTCAAAGTCATCCAACTGGTCCCTAAAGCCGAGAGGACAGAAAAATTAAGTCGGTGGCTCATGTGGAAATATTTCTTACCCTCAGTGCCTCCTGTGAGCTTCACATGGCCACATGACATAACCTCTGTAAAAGACAAAAGGCAGGCACCTACATGGGAATCCACCACAGACCCTCCAGGAGCCCTGACCAAGGACAACACACTGGCTGGCAAAGCCGTGCAGCCTATGCAGTTTGGCTCTGTGAATGCATTTTGGATTTGAGCCACAGTTAACTTGACTCGAAAGCACCATATTTAGATGCTAGTCAAAAGTGCCTCATGATCACTAGCAGACCACGGTAGTAGCCAGCCACTCAGGTGGCCCAAATAGCTCTGGTTCTTTATGAAACTGTGGTTTTCCCTACACCAAGTGGGACAATGACAAGGGTCTGGAGAGAGAACAAGTATCATTTCCAGAGCTAGGGGAAATAGCATGGCAGCAGCTTCTATCTCACTCAAAAGCTCTCTCCCAGGGAAGAGCCTTGTCTGCCATGAGGACACTTAAGCTGCTCCTGGCCAACTTCAACCTTCTAGTTGATGCCCACCACTTGATAGGACCTAGAATCACCTAAGAGATAACTCTTTTGGGCATGGCTATGAAGGACTTTCAAGGGCAGCTTACTGACATGGATTGAATAAAAGGGAGACCTTGAGCTGAGCCTTCACATGCACCTCTCTCTGCTTCCTGACTGGGTACGCCATGTGATCAGCCCCTTCCACTCCTGCCCCTGTGCCTTCCCCTCTGTAATGGACTCTACCCCTCAAAGTGGAAGGCAAAATAAAGCTTTTCATTTCTGCTCCTGATGAGCTGCTTCTTGTCCGGCATTTTGTTACACTGAGGAGAGAACTAACTAGCAGAGACCCTAAACCAGAACTGTTTGCTCAGCTGCTCCCAACCTGAGATGATAGATGCTTACATCTCAGGGCATTAGGTTTGAGGGCAGTCTGTTACATAGCTATAGTCTCATCAGCCGCAGAATTTAACAGATGGCGTACTGCGACGGTTTATGTGCAAACCCACTGGAATTTTGAACATACATGTCCAGTCTTCCTCGGGTAGTTTTGTTGCCCTCTGGGGTCGAATGAAGTAACCTAAAATGGAAAAGAAGCACTGGTATTAGTTTGAAGCGATGCTTTCACTAGAAGAAAAAAAAAAAATCACAGCATGACAAGAGCCGTGGTTTGTCTCATTCTGTTTAGGAGAGCAGGCTCCTAGGATGCAGGCTTTTTAAGTGGTTGGCTTTATTACTGGTCCACCAGCACAGAAGATACACTCCACGAAATCTTTTGCCTCTTATTAAGGTAAATTAACATGCAACACAATTTTAATATATCATTGTATTTTGATTTTTGAATTGGTCACCCACTATAGGATAGATTTATTTTTGTTAGTCTTTAATTTTTCTAGTCTTCTGACCTCTATACTGAATTGATTCTGCCCTGTTCTGTCAGAGAATAGAAGTTATTGTTCTCACTTAGAACAATTGAGAATACATCTGAAGACACTGTATTTTAAAAAAATAATTGATTTTTTTGTACACTGGTGTTTTGACTGTATGCATGTCTGTGTGAGGGTGACAGATTCCGTAGAACTGGAGTTACAAACAGTTGTGAGCTTCCATGTGGATGGTGGGAAATGAACCTGGGTCCTTTGGAAGAGCAGCCAGTTCTCTTAACTGCTGAGCCATCTCTCCAGCCCCTGATTTTCACTTTAATAAGTTAGTACCTCTCAGAGCTGGGTATGGTGGCAAAAGTCTGTAATCCCAGTTCTTGGAAAGTGGAGGGGAGAGAATCAGGAGTTCAAGGCCATCCCTGGCTTAATATAAGGTATTTGGGGCCACCTAAGCTAAACAAGACCTTGTCTTTACTGTTAATGCTTTTATTTATTTGGTTGGTTGGGTTTTTTTTTTGTTTTTTTTTTTTTCCAGACATGGTTTCTCTGTGTAGCCTTGGCTATCTTGGAACTCACTCTGTAGACCAGCATGGCCTCGAACTCAGAAATCTACCTGCCTGTCTCCTGAATGCTGGGATTAGAAGTACGGGACACGGCTGCCTGGCTTTATTTTATTTTTTCGTTTATGTGTATGCACCTGCTTGTCCCTATGTGCACCATGAAGAGACCAGAAGAGCCCCTAAGTTCCAGGTAGTGGTGAGCACCTGGTGTACACGCTGGGAATCAAACCCAAGACCTCCTCAAAAGCAGTATGTGCTCTTAACCATTGAGCCATCTCTCCAGCCTAGTCCCTGTCTTAAAGCAAAACAACAACCAAACAAAAAACCAAATTGCATGTAAAACCCAGCTCCAGGGACTCTGAGGCTAACATCTGACCACAAAGCACACACATACGTGTGGGATACAGGGACGCTATCACCCTCTAACATGCCACTCCTTTTATCTGCTTGCTGTCTTACATTTCTTGGGCCTTCCACATGTAGGAATTACAGGCACAAGAGGCCACCTTTCTCCCCCATGTAGACTGCAAGAAGGCAGAAGTTTTAGTTCGTTTACTGCAGTGCCCTCCAAGCCCACACCATTCTTGGTAGCGGTAATCATTCAATAAATTACTCGCTGAATAAAAGGCACAGGCCTGTAATCCCAGCACTCGGGGAGGCAGAGGCAGGCAGATCGCTGTGAGCTCGAGGCCAGCCTAGTCTACAAAGTGAGTCCACGACAGCCAGGGCTGTTACACAGAGAAACCCTGTCTCGAAAAAACAAACAAAACAAAAGCTCCATCAGCCCTAACTAATTAATGCACATAAATCTGAGTCGACTAAATTCATCCTCACTCAACAAGTCAAACAAAGGATGGAAAAGCGAATATATCTATCTCTCACTTCCCTACTCCCTCTCCCTTTTTTTGAGATGCTGCCTCAAGTAGCTCAGTATGGCTGGCATTCCCTACTGAGCAGGGAATGACGTCTGCTTGCATATCCAGATTACTGGGATTACAAGCAAGCACCGAGCCCCGCGGTTTGACTCCTAGATGTTTGTTGCTGTTAAAATGGGGCTTGCTGCATAACTCAGCCTGGCCTCGGACTGATGTGATCCTGCTACCTCAGTCTCGGGAATGGGTGCTGAGATTAACAGGCAAGGGCCAGCACGCTCTGTTTGTTTCTAGAAAGATAAAGGTTTAGATGGAAGAAAAAGAAAAGCACCAACAAGGAAAAGGTAGAGTTCCTCCTGCCTTCGTGTTTCTCTCCTCTCTGGTTGGATGCCGGTCTTCCTTCTAGGAAGACAAGAAAATACTCCACTTCTCACCTTTCTACCCGCCCGGCGGGAGGCGGGAACCAAACTAACCGTAGCTATGGCAACGCGCAAACTTCCTTCCCCCCCCCTTTGGTAGGACCCTTGCCTCTTTTTTTTAGTCAACTACAATTTTGCCTGTCTTTCTTCCGAAATTATACGTGTTGCCGCTTGCACAGATGAAAAGACAGGAGACGAGAGTAAAGGTCCCGAGCGTGGCTTGGCTGGGTCGAGCCTCTCCCTGACACTTGCTTTCCGGCGCGGTGCGAGCAGCCTAAGCGCCGAGGTGGGCGGGGCGTGCATCCCACAAGGCCGCGCGGCGGGCCTTGCCTTCCTCTTTCCGCCATCTTGGCGCCTGGGAAGGTGAGGGGAGTTTCTGCTACTCAACTTCGGGGCCGGATTCCTGGGGTGGGTTTATCTACATCGCTCGCCAAGACGACCCTGCATCTCGGAGAGCCTGGCTGCCAGCCATTTCTGGCGAGTCCAGGAAGAGGGAGGGCGGGATGGAGGAGATGAAGGACCGATGGTGTTGAGACCCCGGCCGGGGGAAGGAAAGCTCGCTGGGTCCCCGGGCGCCGGAGGAACGACGGGGTGCATCTTGTCCCTCGCGCTTGCTCAGGAGGCAGTGGTCCCTGTAAGCTGTTTGCCCCGCTCAGAACCGGACCCTTGCATTTGTTCTCTGTGCGCGTCTGGGTTCTTTACGGGGTTTCTAGAAGTTAGGTCTTTGAGTCCTCCACCCAGCTTTTTGCCCGCATCTCCGGGTAGCTGGTTGTCATTCATTCTCAGAAGTCTTGAGTAGTTTGCCAGGCTCTGCCTCTGTAGATGGCACGGCGTAGGTTAGAGTTCCCCGTACTTGAAATGCTACGGGATTCGTCTATCAAGCTCAAGCAGTGGGCATGACAGGTGGGAAGCGTGCTGCGTGGCTTTCAGTTGAGATCTTGTTTTGTTTTCAGGCCTGCTGGGAACAGGACTTCTAAGCAGTAGATATGTCTGGAAGGTATGTGATTTCAGTATAGTTGCTTTTCCTTTTTTTTTGTTCTACATTAAGTAGATGTGAAGCCCAAGTTTAAAATAATGCGGGACGGGATCCTAGAGATGTGCTGTAGTTAGCTGGAGTAGGAGTTGCATGAAAAGTTGTAAGTTTATTCATAATGTCTTTCTTATGTGTCCTAGGCTGTGGTGCAAAGCCATTTTTGCTGGCTACAAGCGAGGTCTCCGGAACCAAAGAGAGCATACAGCTCTTCTTAAAATTGAGGGTGTTTATGCCCGAGATGAAACAGAATTCTACCTAGGCAAGCGATGTGCTTATGTGTATAAAGCAAAAAAGTAAGTGTGTGTTTTGATGCTTTTTAATTTTTAGTTGACTGCTGTCATTTTTCTACTGTAAAGGTGTTGGTGAAAAATTGGTGCTGTTGATTCTTAGAGGCCATGAACTTGATAGGAAATTATAGGAGGATCCTCTTGTCCAGGGTATTGGATATAGGCACCATCGCCTGTTAGAAAAATAACAGTTATAGAAAGGTCTTGGGTTAAGTCCCTAATTCGGTTAAAAAGAAAGATTACAGCTGTTGTTACTTTCTATTTTTCTCTGGAAGGGCTTATGAAATACTTTTAAATGTATCTCGATTACTTTTAGTTCTTTAAGATGGTAATAGCCATAAAACAGATTTGTTTTTGCTATTTAATTTTTTTCTGTTGTTCTCACTTCTATATTGAATTAAAGGATTACTACCCCGTACTGTCGGGGAACAGAATTTATTGTGCCTTGACTTAGAGCAATTGAGATTACATGTAGAAAACTATTTTTAAAAAGTTAATTTTTACGTGCATCAGAGTTTTTCTGTATGTATGTCTGTGTGAGGCTGCCAGATCCCCTGGAACCAGATATTTCTGTGCTTTTGTTTTTTTCCTTTCCTGTTTTAAGGTGAGTACTACCGGTTCAATTCTAGGAATCAAACATAAGGCATTATACAAATCTGGCTTTATGCTGTTGTTTTGGTTTTTTTTTTTTTAGACAGGGTTTCTCTGTGTAGCCCTGGCTGTCCTAGCAATCACTGTACACCAGGCTTGCCTCAAACTCCAAGAAGTCCTCCTCCCTCTTCCTGGGGATAAAGGTGGGCATCCTCACACCCACCATGAGTGTGTTTAAAACCCAGTGCATCTTGCCTTTAATCCCAGCATTTGGGAGGCAGAAGTGAAGGGGCTCTTTGAGCTCCAAGCAAGTCCCCATTTGTCTGCTTTTATCCCAAGTAGGCTTTATCCCTGTGTGTCTTTCCAAACTTTTTTTTAGCATATACAGATTCTTCTGTCTGTAATTAATGGTCATATAATCTTATAAAAATATACTTGGTATATATGAACTGTTAATGAATGTTTACTATTTTTACAATTTCTCAAGCAAGTCTATGGAGATTGTAGGTGGAAGCCACTGAGTCCTAGGAAATAACTGATTTTGTGTCAGGTTGTGTTGGTGTTTGAGCTCATGCATCTTGTGTCCCTTTAAAACCAGCAATACAGTGACTCCTGGAGGCAAGCCAAACAAAACCAGAGTGATCTGGGGAAAAGTAACTCGGGCCCATGGGAACAGTGGTATGGTTCGTGCCAAATTCCGAAGCAACCTTCCTGCGAAGGCCATTGGACACAGAATCCGTGTGGTAAGTACAAGTAGCAAGATAAATGGACCTTTTGATACAGCAAAGTCAATTTAAGGGGTGGACTTATTACCTTTCTCAAGACTTGTGAGTGTAAAACAAATTCTGCTATGAATTAGTGGTTTAAGTGAGAAATTTAATAGAACATCTGATTCTTGGCAGAATAAAGCAAGGTGAAGGCCAGCGCTTGAATTATACATCTGAGTTTCAGATCTTGCTAAAGCTAGCTGGGAGAAATACGAATGGATTTTTGTTGTCTGTTTCTTTGAGACAAGGTCTCACTGTGTAACTGTAGTTGCCCTGGAACTTATACAGACAAGGCTGATCTTTTTATTTTGAGACAGGTTCTCACTAAGATGTCCAGGCTGGCCTTAAACTAAGTCCTGCCTCAGCCTTCCACGTAGGTGGGGTTCAGGCCAGTGCTGCCAGCTCATCTCATGTCACCATGTCAGTACTGCCAGAATAGTGACCTTATCTTGAATTTGGAAAGGAAGCTCATGTTAGATATCAAGACTTAAGCTGATGAGGCTTTAGTTAGGGTCTGTTTATAATATTGGTAATGTTTGGGTCAGTGCCCTCATACCTGGCTCTAATACTTGGGTTTTAGGAGTTATTTTACATATATGTCTATGTGAGCACACATGCATGGCAGGCACATGAGTATATGAAGGACAATTTACAGGAGGCAGCTGTTCCACAATGGCAGTTGGAAGAAACCACGCTGTTGGGCTTCGTGGCAATTGCCTGTACCTCTGAGCCATTTTACTATCCCTTGAGTACTTTTGTTTTTAATGCTGTGTTTGGGGCTGGAGTTGATTATAGTTAGCATGCATAAGGCCTTGGGCTTAAGTACTAGCCGGGGGAAAAAAAGTGCTGGTTCTTGGATCTGGGGAGATGGCTCAGTTGGCAAAATGTTTGCTGCACAAGAATGAGGTCTAGGGGTCTGGAGGAATGGCTCAGAGTCTGTTAAGAGCAGTGGCTGCTCTTCCAGAGTTCCTGAGTCAATTCCCAGCCACCACATGGGGCTCACAACCATCTACACTGGGATCTGATGCCCTCTGCAGGTGTATATGCAGATAGAGTACTCATACATAATTTTTTAAAAAATGAAGTCTTAAGTTCTTTTCCCTGGCAGTCACATACAAAATGTAGGCACAGCAGTGTCTGTGATCCTACCCCTGGGGAATCAGGATCTCTGGTGCTTATGGGTCAGAGACTTTCCTATCAAAAAGTGAAAAGCAAGGGAGTTGAGAATACTGTTGGTGCATGTGCCAGATGCTGCACAAGCTAAACTTAGGTGAAGATGCACACCACCAGCTGTGGGTCTTGGGAGGAGTGACAGGGTAATGGGATAGTTGTCATTCACCTAATGTTTTTATGCTTTTTTTCCATAGATGCTGTACCCTTCCCGGATTTAAACTAATGAAAAATAAATAAAAGAGGATTTGTGCTCTTGAGTGGTTTTTTTTACACCAAAACTGCCCCGAATTGCATTTCTCTATGTTAAGGTGGTGGGGGTTGTCCAGTAATTTCAGAGTGAAAGGAAATTCTGTGAAAGTCAGTATTCCACAAATAGATACGTTTAAAGGATAAGTTCTGCTGGATGAGGTGACATACACCTTTAATGCAGATATGAGTTTGAGGCCAGCCAGGACTGTAATGAAAGCCTGTCTTAGAAAGTTTTACGTAACTTTGGGTCATGCTGGGGTGGAACCCAGTGCTCAGTGGAGTGTTTGGATGGTGTGCCCTTGGTGTGGGAGTTACGGAGAATTTGAAGAGTGCTTCTCTTGGGCTTTTGGCTAGAGTAGGGAGGTGGTTTGGCATTGGTTGATTGGAAGTAATGTGTCCTGAAAAGATCAGACTAATAAGTAGCAAGTATTCAGGGCACTAAAATACTTGTAATTTTGAGGATCCTGGAACTATGAAGGCATCTTTATAGATTCCTAACAAGTACTTTACTGTCTTTAAACTGCACTTACACAGAGCTATTAACACTTTGTGAAAAGCTTTGAGTCCTCTTCCCACTACAGCTAGGACTGTATGGGGGGAGGGGATTGGTTCAAGTAGATTTTACAAGTCCTACTTCCAGAAGAGAGTATATATATATGCATGCATACATACACAGTTGACCAGGAGTGTAATAAGCATGGAGGCTGTGGTCTGTGTTCTCATAGAACAGATGCAGGTTAGCTCACGACACCTAGTGGACTTCACATTGCAGAAATACAGGTTTCTACGGTAGGAGCTGCCAGTCCTGGGGTTATTCCAATGTAAATTGTTTTTCCCAAACACCAGCAAGGCAACTTGTGTTTGTGGCTCGGTTAATATATGGTCAGTGACCCCAGGAATAGGAAAATGAAGTATGGTGTTATGCGAAAAGTACACAGTGGAGAAGCGAGGTGTCAGAGTAGTACAAAAGTGATTTTAGGTGAGTGGAAAGTCACAAGTGGTCTTGGGTGCTATCCTGAGACTCCCAATTATAGTTACTGGAAGTGAACAGGTGAAAAGGTTAATATTTTTGGATTATCTTGGTAACCCACTATGAACAAATCACATGGACTTGGCAATTTTAGCAGTTTTGAGTACTGAATAGAGTGGGTTGCATAAACGCTGGTTTAAACTTCGGGTTTTGTTTTCTTTAGTTTTCCATTTTAAGAGCAATTAACTGGAGGTTTCAAAGATTTTTGGGGTCTAAACAGGTACGTTTACAAGGTTGGGAAGCCAGTCATTAAACAAGAGTTGAAGGCCGTAAGTTGTGGGCAATACTCAGTTTGGATAGGATGGTATGGGGGGGGGGGGTTGGGAAGAAATGGGAAGTAGAGAAAGGTTGCACTTGCTTTAGGGCACATGGAGTGATTTATGCGTGCCGTGGAAGTGAGCTTTGTGCAAAGTCTTTGGGCATGACGCAGCCAGGTTCTATCCAACTTCGCCTGGGTTAACGTTGGGCGCGAGCTGCAGCAGGATACCGTAACCCTCGTTGGCCGCATAGGCAGCTTTGGTAGTTAGGCGATGGTGCTGAGATGCACTGAAACGGAGCGGGTGCCCGGGGCTAGCTGCTCTAGGACGAGCAGCCTCCGAGCACGCCGCCCCCCACGCCCGTCCGCTCAGCGCTCCTCCCCGCCAGCCCCGGTTCCCACAGCTCGGTTCACGTGGGCTGGCGGGCGGCGGCCATTGGCCGGGCCGGCGCGCCGCGCGGTCGCCGCGGCCCCCCGTCCTCCGCCGGCCCCGCCGTGCCGCCGGCCAATGGCGAGGGCTGCTGCCGGCC